ACAACCCGTACTCTCCTTCATGCCACCAACCAGGTCATGAAATGTACAACCCGTACTCTCCTTCATGCCACCAACCAGGTCATGAAATGTACAACCCGTACTCTAATATCATTTGGCAACTTTCCATTCATGCCACCAACCAGGTGAAGAAGGAACTCATCCTCATGCCACCAACCAGGTGATGAAATGTAATGAAAGGTGATGAAGGAACTCACCTTCGTACCATCAACCAAGTGATGAAAGCAACTCACCATTCATTTTACCTACCAGAAAACGAGTGGTATAATTTATACATGTGAACTCCTAGCATTCAAAAATAATCAAAAACCCTCAAGCTTGACAACTCAACTAGGGGAGCACTTATGCCCAACAAGAGTTATAGTCATCGACAAAGTCTTATTGCAAGCTAACAACAACTTCAGTGCATGGCATTCGAAGATCAAGCTATTTAGCCCTCTTACATCTGCTTCAGACATTTCCCCTCTGTAACAATGGAAACTACAACTCGTAGAAAGCTTCACTCTTGATCAAGACAGTGTGAAGCAAAACCAATTTATGGTGCCAACAAAAGCTTCATCAAAGGAGTTCAACCATAATTCTCAAAAGCTTTACACACTCTTGATCAAGACAGTGTGAAGTAAAACCAATTTATGGTGCCAACAAGAGCTTCATCAATGAAGGACAACCACAATTCTCAAAAGCTTCACACACTCTTAATCAAGACAGTGTGAAACAAAACCAATTTATGGTGCCAACAAAAACTTCATCAATGGAGGGCAACTACAATTCTCAAACCTTCAAGGCAAATTTAAGATTGTTCGAAGCAAATTCAATTTATATGGTTTATCCAAACCTTCGAATACTACAAGGTGTGGCTTGCATCACAATCTCTTGCTCAACAGTGTGGAAGCAAAATTTGTATATGTTGTCTCTCCCACATTTTCAAATTTCTAGTTTCCCCAAAAAAAAAAAAGGAAAATTCAACAAAGCTTCATCAATGGAGGACAACTATAAATTCTCAAAAGCTTCACACTATCTTGACCAAGATAGTATGAAGCAAAATCAATTTGTGGTACCCAACAAAGCTTCACCAACAAAAGCTTCATCAATAGAGGACAACTACAAATTCTCAAAAGCTTCACACTATCTTAATCAAGATAGTATGAAGCAAAATCAATTTGTAGTACCCAACAAAGCTTCACCAACAAAAGCTTCATCAATGGAGGACAACTACAAATTTTCAAAAGCTTCACACTATCTTGATCAAGATAGTGTGAAGCAAAATCAATTCATGATACCCAACAAAAACTTCAAATCCAAAGCTTCACTTACAAAGCTTCAACTCCAAAGCTTCACCAACAAAAGCTTCACCCACCACAAAAGCTTCACCCACAAAAGCTTCATCTACAAAAGTTTCACCTATAAAAGCTTCATCCACAAAAGCTTCCCCCACCACAAAAGCTTCCCCCACCACAAAAGTTTCATCCACAAAAGCTTCATCCACAAAAGCTTCACCCACCACAAAAGCTTCCCCTACCACAAAAGCTTCACCCACAAAAGCTTCACCCACCACAAAAGCTTCCCCTACCACAAAAGCTTCACCCACAAAAGCTTCACCCACAAAGCTTCAACACAAAAGCTTCACCTACAAAAGCTTCACACTATCTTGATCAAGAAAGTGTGAAGCAAAAACAATTCATGGTACCCAACGAAGCTTCAACCTCAAAGCTTCACCTACAAAGCTTCCGGAGGTCGTGAATGATGCGTTGCAAGGTAAGAAAGAAAGATGGAGACCTGGAGGGCTTGGGAGAAGCATTTCCGCTTTCGGAGGTCATGAATGATGCGTTGAAGCTCGGTGACTCAGACTTTGTTGCCATTGTAGTCCCAGTCGTTGAGCTCTGGAACCACATTCAAGCTAGGGTTTTCGAGCGGGCTTATTTTGTTGTAGAGGGTCAGCTACTTGGTCCTGCTCGTGTAGTAGGTCCTACTATTATACTGGGAACAATTATAATAACACATATTAAATAAACACACAATCAAGAAATCCAAAGGTAGTTTTTGGATAGGAAGGAAAAACAAAACAATAGTAATTTGTCATCCTTTTCGACCACAAAATTTTTCAAAGCTTCAATTAACTTTATAGTCACAATTTATTTTGTTAAATATTTTCTTCCTGGAAAGAAAAAAATTAAAAAGATTAACATTCCCAAAACATGAATAAGCAGATTCAAAGATTAATCTCCACATGAAACACTTCCAGTAGGAAGAACAACAAACACACTCATTTCAAAACATAAATAAGCAGATTCAAAGATTCAACTTTTGTACAGAAATGAGCCAAAAGCACATGCCGCTTTAATGTATGAGCCAAAAGAACTTTCAGCTTTAGCAGCCCATACCCGACACCCCAAATTTGAGATATATTTGAGACTCAAAAGTGTTTACACAGAAATGTCAAACAACGCAAATCTCTAACCTGATCCTTGTGTGCATCTTGCAGTCATTGTCGCTGAAACTTCTGCATCAAAAGCATCAACAGCCTTTTCAATTCTGAAACAGATACACTGGGAACATCTTTTGAATCTCTTCCCTCTTGACGTTATTGTAAACGCATCGCCAAATCAACATTCGCAGGCGCACCAAAAGCTGCCTAACAAAAAAAAAAAAACAAATTTCACAAATCACCTAAATGAAATTCAGCGCAAAATTCCAAAATATTTGAAAATGAAAACAGGAAAGAGTGAGAGTAGTGTCCCGGGCCGATGTCCGATTCATTATGGAGCTGGAGCATATCTGGGAATATGTCTCGGCCGGCGGAGTCGAGATTGGTTTTCAGCTCCTCCAAAGGGCCTAAAGATTGTGCTCCACCGACTCCTTCGAATTGGACCAGACCAGTAGCGGCAAAAGGCTCAACAACATGTGGCTTTGCCATTGAAAAAAGAACGAAGAAGAAGACGACAACTGAAGTGAATTAAAGGAAAAGAATCAATATTTGAATAAATTCAATGTGCCGCAACAGGAGTTTTTGGATCCATTTATATATTAGATTTCCCTTAAAACAAGACATATGGGAAAACAAATAATACCCAAATCTCAACATTAGTGTAGTAGATGAGTAAATAATATATGACAAAAAAAATTCAATGGTGCATACTAAAAATGAGTGAATAGAGTAAGACAGAGTACATGAGTGACTTTGAAATCAATGAATTAAATTCCAAAAGTGAGTGACAAAGAATAATTAAGGCAGAAGCTTAACTACCCTATCAATTTTAAATTCAATGTCTGTTTATTGCATATGCCTTCACTTATATATTAAATTTTGTTCAAATTCAATGTATGTTCACTGCATGCTAATCTGTGTTTTGGCATACTCTTACGAGGTTTGGTCACAAAACTACAACCATTTTTACAAATTCCATAAGCCAACAATGGAAAATGAAACTCACGAAGCAACCTAGAAGGAGGCAGACAACAGAAATCAAAGAACGGAACAGGTGAGAACCAAAACGTTAAAAACAGCACATACCCATTTCAAAGACAAAAAATCATGCAATCCTCCTTTTCCCAGGGCCCTTCAAACTTCTCTGAGTAACACCTGCACACAGAAACAATATCCATTTACCCTATTTAGAAATCGAAAAATGGATTTTAGAGAGAGGAGAGATAATTAGGGTTTAAGAGTAATCGTGGAAACTAATTGTGCTGAGAGGAAGCAATTGTGGTCCACATCTTCACACAACAAATTGGAATTTGGGATTTTAACAGTAACCAACAGTCATTCAAAATTTACTAGTCACAATTAAAGCTTAAGTGATACCTTGATTATAGTCATCAATACGCATGCTCACATACTAAGACCTAAACCCTAAATCATTCCAATCGTTCTCTTTCTTGTCCTTGGAGATTATGATTCAAGTAAAATCAAACATTCAAACAACTCATCTCTCACTTGATTGATTGGTACCAAATGAAGGTCAATAATACTTATTTGTAATTTAATTAATAAAAATTGACGCTTGAATCAAAAAGTAAGAAATTAAAAGAGAAATGGAGAAATACCTGGAATGGAATAAGTGAATCATAGATGAAGGAGTTTATGTTTTTGTTTCTGTTTCGAAACCAGAACCAAACCAATTTGGGACAAAAATGAACAATGCTTTCATTTTTTTTCAAGAATTTAACAATTGACCTAAATCAAAATATTAAGAGGCGAAGAGCTTACGTATGTATTAATCAAGAAACAAATAAATTAAATCAGTGGAAGACCCTAATTCACAAAAACAGAGACATAATCCGAGCACCCAGCTTAACAATTTATAAACATCCATTACAATTTGAATGAAAGAACAAAATATAAGTGAAAATTGTAACAAAGCAAATGGCAATTAGACACTAAACAATGAAAAAAAAGCAGTGCATTACCTTTTGAATCAAGGGAGAAAATTGAAAACCCAGACCTTGCCATTCGTTCCTCACCCATCCCATCCTGACCGACTCCGTGCGTAACCCGTTAACCCTAAAGAATACACACACCCATGCTTTCCGCTCTGTATCTCTCTCCTGGCCTATCTCTCTCTCTAAAATGGGAGAAAATCCCATAGATCCTGGCAGAGCACCTACCTAAATCTCTATCTCACTCAGTCCAAACCCGTAGCTCCAATCTCTCTCCAATCTCTCAAGCCCTTTGTCTCCCTCCTCTGTAGTCGCTCTGTCCCCCTCTCTCCGCTCGCCAAAGGCACACCCAGCTGTCTCCGAGTAAAAAATGGGAGCGATTGTCTTCGACAGAGATGTCCCCCTCCCCTCTCTGTCGCCGTGGCTGAAAATAGGTTTTTAAGCCTGAGTGGCAATTTTGTAAATTAAGTCAAAGTTGGTTAAAAGCATCCGAGTGGCAAGCTTGTAAATAAAATGAAATGTGGTTCAAAACACTGTTCATTGGTACAGTGCAATTGAAAAGCCTTCTTTAGACTAAAGTAATGTGTTTCCTTCTATTGATGTTGTTGTACAGTTAAGGAATTTAGTTAGGTTCCGTGTAGTTACCCGAGGTTCATTTTGAATCGTTTGTGAATGTTTTTATTTTGGTCTTGGTGGTGTTTCAGCAAGAAGAATCTGAAGTTGGTTTGCCTGGAGGAAACGGTCAGCTCTTGACACTAGGGCTTGGATTGTTAGCCACAGCATTGACTGCTGCTTATGTAACACGACTAGCAAAGGTAAGCTCCCAAAGCATTTTCGTTTATAGGGTTTGTCAAATGTCATTGTTCCTTTTGAAAACCTGATGCCTAAATAGGTAATTTTTACCAATATTTTAAAAAATGCTAGGCGCTAGTTGGGTGGCGGGTTAGGGCCTAACGCCTAAGCGGCTAGGCGGGTCTAAACGGGCGCTTAGGCAGACTAGGCGGATTTAATAAATCTATTATATTTTATAGAGGTCGCACTTGGTGCGATGGCAAGTGCCTTCGCCCATGAGCGGTAGGTCTCGGGTTCGAGACTTGGGAGCAGCCTCTCCATAAATGGGGGTAAGGCTAGCCGACATTCACCTCTCCCAAACCCTGCGTAAAGCGGGAGCCTTGTGCACTGGGTACGACCTTTTTAAGTGTCTGTTTATACTTAAAATATATATGATTTCATCATAAACTACAAAATGGAATCACATAGATATTATGAGCTATTGGAACATAATGAAAATATGGAGAACAAATGTACAATGTGTGTTCCTTTAAGTATTCAACAAGTCTCTTACAATTTATTGAAAAAATAAAATGCAAAATGAAAGTTATTTATTTTCTATCTAAGTGAGTCGCAACCTAAGTGGGTGTCTAGGCGGGCTAGGCGAGTGCCTATGCGGTCTAGGGGGGTGCCTTAGTAGGTTTATGAGCCCTTTCTTAATTTCTAAATGCCTAGACATTAATCGGGGTGGTGGCCAACCGCCTAACGCCTAGACGAGACCTAGATGATGCTAGGCATGCAGGAATTTTTAGAACAATGATCTTTACGCCATGTTGAAATGATTATTTTTTTGGTTTTTGATGCAGGATGCTGTAAAAGATATCGATTAGGTGACGGGTTCTGTCTGCCCATGAAGTCTGCACAATGTATTTGAAACTTCAAAAAAATAAAAAATAAAAGGTAAAAAGTTGATAGCTACTTCACTGCCTTGTAATTATCCAACTTTTGGCAAATTGAATAGGAAATGAATTGATTTTTACTCTTGAAATTGCATCACTAATTCCTGATGAGAAATGAGGTTCAGTTTTTTGAATTTTTCCATTCCAGCAGGAGTATGTACTGATTAGTATTAGTTTTTTATTTTTTATTTTTTTTATTTGTAAATGAGGTTTTAAGTTCATACTACCATAGATGGCGACGTATGACAACAATGCTAATTATGTGGCTTAGTCGTATGATCGTATTCCGCTCTTCTTAGAGTGAATAATGCTACACTTTCTACATATTTTATATCACATTATACTTTCTAATAGATGAATAGTCCACAAATACATGTGAGTCTCATTTCTATAGAAGAAATGGTAAATATGATACAAAAAACATAGTAAGAGTTGCATTTGTACTTTAGAGAGTAGAATATCACTTTGTTTAGAACATAATATCATATAAGAAATTACAAAATACCACATCTTCAATAAAGACGGAACGGAAAGCACATATGTGTGATGGCCTACTTCTGTTAAAAAATCGATACAAATATGATATAAGAAATACAAAAGTGTAATATACGGTGGAAATTGATACAAATATGATATAAAACATATAGTAAGTGTAATATACGCTGGAAATTTAATTTCCACACCACTCTCAAAAATCCAATTTCTTGTGCATGTGTCATTTCCCTTTTAAGCCAGGCAGTCACACGAAGTACCTCAAACTCTTCCACGACTTCACTTCAACATGCAATTCACACCCTTTCTTAAGCCACTTGTCATGACTACAACTAACAAAACTAGTGACAATATTTTAAAACCCTAAATCATTGCTACATAATCAACCAGTCTCTTATCAACTGATCATCATCACAACCCAAACCAATCTCTCCAAATATCAAAAATGGCAACGACTCACGCACAGGTTCCCGGCGAGCCCACCCCGACGAGCATGGCCTTCCTTGAGACCGCGACAGCCGCGGTCCAAAACTTCAGCCCTATCAAAAGCATACACCAGCACCTTTGCGCCTTCCACTTCTACTCCCACGACATGACCCGCCAAGTTGAAGCACACCACTTCTGTGCCCACCAGAACGAAGAGATGCGTCAGTGCCTCATCTACGACAGCGAAGCTGCTGACGCCAAGCTCATCGGCCTCGAGTATATCATATCCGAGGCCCTCTTCCTCACCCTCCCGGACAGCGAGAAGCCGCTCTGGCACTCGCATGAATACGAGGTCAAGAGCGGGGTTCTCTTCATGCCCAGCGTTCCGGGTCCCATCGAGAGGCAAGACCTGGACAAGCTGTGCAAGACTTACGGGAAGACCATCCATTTTTGGCAGGTGGATAGGGGGGACGATTTGCCGCTCGGCATTCCGCAAATTATGCTGGCTTTAACTAGGGATGGACAGTTGCGACCGGAGCTCGCCAGAGACGTGGAGAGACGGTATGGGGTGAGTTTTGAGGAGGAGAGGGAGAAGCGAGCGTATATGGCGGGGCCGAATCTTGGGATGCATCCTTTGGCCAACGGAGGAGGAAAAGGGTTTAAGACTGAGCTCAAGGAGGTGGGCTGTATGCCTGTTGATTCTGTTCCCAGGGTCTTTGTTTGAGTCTCTAGCTATGTAAAATATAATAGCCTGCACTGAGTAGTAGTATTTGTATGTTTGGTATGGTGTAATTTTGTGAATAAACTACTAGTTTCTGTTGGAATTAACCATAAAACTAACAGTAAACTCTAGAACACAACGCAGCAAGATTAGTGTAATCTTACCTGCAGAATACAAAAGATCACCAATTCGTTCCTGCAGAGGCCATGAACACGATGCAAAAGGCTCTTCTACTCATTTGGAGACCTGTATGTCCTTATGGTGATAGTCCCAAAAACGAAGAACCTTTTCTCTATGAGCAGGGAATCCTTTTTAAATAAAGCAAGGTTACCCAACTTCTATCTATCATGGAGGTTGGTTATAGAGCCGTTGCTTTCAGTTCCAGTAGTGGAAGAAGTAGTTCTAGTACGGGCTTCAAAATGCAAAGCATGATGGATGTAACTCTTCAATTATAGGACATGGTATTACACATATACAAAACTCTAACTGATTTATAATTTTAAAGATGTTGACACACCTATATCACTACTAGTTGAGTCTAATTAGGATTCTTACATTCTCCCACTTGGACGTTAACTAGTTATGGTTTGAAACAACATGTTCATTATAAATCATTCTTTAGTGATCACCATGAGTTTCACGCAATCCATATCCTATACACATCTACCAGTAACCATTTGAAAATCGAACTCCAGAAAACAATGCATGTATCAATACTGTATGCACCCTGAAATCATGATATTCAAAATCGCACTGTATGATGTCAATGACATATGCATATATGTACAATCCATACTTTAGTAATCACTACAATTCTCACACCTTTTCCTTCCACACTCATCTGTCCAGTACACTTTAATCAGACTTATCTTTAGAGCTTTTCATCCTTAAACACTGGACTTCGAGTTGATTTCTAGCTTCCTGCACAAAACAAACTTATCCAATATGTTCTTTGGAACAATCATTGGCCACATTAATTGCTTTAAATAAGTCTGAATCAATAACCATAGTGTCAATTGAATATAAGCTTGAATGAAACAACAAAACACAAACTCGCAGCAACACTAATAAATTGTTATAATTCATGCAGTAGCATGTTTTACTCCCACATTCCTACAGAATCAAAACTATCATGCACACCCATGTTTGCTACATGTTCTTTGAACATTCCCACTAATCTCGCATATTGAAACTAACAATAAAGCTTCACGATAGTGGTACGTTTCTAGTAAACTGTATGCAACAACCTTATGTGAAAATGCAATAGCCGTATATATAGATCCTTATTTGAATAGTCATAATCTCCATCCTTATATTCACAAGTTAATCTCCTGTATCACCGTATAACAGTCTTCCTTATTACTTCAAAAATTGAAGTCACAAGTCCAAAACACTTTCACGAAGTAGTACAATTAGCCATTATTCTAACTAGTTGGCCACCAAGTGTATTTATTGCACATATTCTTTTAATCAAACCAGAAAGAACCCTTACGGCGAAAGAGTACAATACATAATAATTTGCAAGATGTAAGGCAAAACAAATATAAAGTTATCACTCCCACTAATTTAATTAATCATAACTTAATTACAGAACAACACTTTTGATAAAGTTCTGAAATATGCATGCTTTGGGAGCAACCTTACTACGACAATTAGTTAACACAAAAGCATCTTACCACATAATTTTATTTATTTATTTATTTTATGTTTCTTTAACATGCAAGAAATCACATTATCAATGAAAAAGTCACAAAAGTATCACAATCTTTGCACAAGATATTCCAATCTTTCCTTGATATTCATTTAAGCATGTATGATGGATACACAAAACCATACCACAAACAATCAAACGGTATGAAACAACTGGACCACAATTGTATCGATATCAAACATTAGTTCGTATTAGCTTCACACTCCTTATAAAGACCAACATGTAACCATCCAATGCAACCATATGCAATAGACAAAGACGATAGAGAATGCACATAAACATCATATATACATTATATATAGTCACACAATTTAACCATGTTGTCATCTTTAAGATTATAATTCAACTTGAGTCATGCTAGTTTGAATCAGGGTGAGGTTCCTTACACTACATTTTAGCAAATTCTAGTGCAAAATTATGAAACCCTTGCTCTACAGCATGAAACTAATGAAACTTGCTTTACAGCCTGAAACTGATTGCGTTGGAAATAATGACTTTCCATTTGATTCATGTCATGGTGGTATATGCCATATGCCGTATGCATGCGTACATTAGTTATTGTTCCAAGACTTGGATGGTAGAGCATGCTAATAGTACATTGGCGTTACTGATTTGTTGTCTCACATATGGATGTTGAATATTAAACATGCATTCGTCATAGAAGGAAACTTAATACATGTGTTTTCAAAAACTTTAGTTTACTTTCAATTTGATTTGGACAACACAAAGAACAACTCTCATAATCTTTTAGAACTCAATAACTTTTGAATGAGTTAATGAGTGTGAAGCTCAAGATTTCGTCACTTATTCTCTTACTTGGGCAAAACACTCATTAATTTATTGCTTCACCAAAATTCAGCGTACTAGTTGCTTAAAATTTTAAACACAAAAGAATAGAAATCCAAAACAAGATTCCACGAGTGAGTTCCAATTACTCTAGGATTTACTATAATTAATTATATATATATATATATATATATATAATGACTAATCCTCAAGTTATGTAAAATAAACCAGAGACGCTTATTATTCATATAACAAGTTAAGAAGTCATGGTTGTCCTATTAATAACCAAGAGAAGCAAAGTGGACTAACCAGAAACTGCCAGCATAGATTTCTTTATGAGCATAGATTACTTATAAATTTATAACAAATAAAATACATAACCAATGACCACGAAAATGTGAATTGTAGGAGAAGACATATATACGTACAACATATCAAAATGTCAAGCATTTTCATGGTCCATATATGTGCCATTGATTAAGCTTTATTCAAGATATAATTTGCCAAGCAATTTTTGTGCATCGACATCTCTCATGAAGATATATATATATATAAACATTTTCTATCTCATGCTTTCATTAAAATTGGTCCCTTACATACCTATAATGAGGCTCATAGCAAAAGCATTCGTAAATAAAAATAAAGAACTTTATCTCTTGATCACGCATTACATGGGTTACCTCATGAAAACTTTCAACACCTTTGGGCAAGGCTTTCACAAATTTTTTTTTTTTTTGAAATAAATTCATACTATGCCATCCTAATTGAACCAAAAATAATGATCTACACCTTTGGGCAAGAAGATCATCGATCCCCTTGTTATAATTAAGATGCTATGTGATAACTTTGTCGTTTTTATATATAGTTGATATGCTTCATTACTTTTCTTTCTAAGTTCATCAATAATTGTTTAAGAAAAACCTATTATTAATTGGAACCCGACTCAAAGCAAAAAGAGTGTTACAATTAAACAAATGGGAAAGCAGAGACCCACTTTGAAATTGATCGAATAAAATATCATGTGAGCAACGATTCAATTATTAAGCTACAATTGCATTACACCAATGTCTATGTGCCAATATATATATATATATATATATATATATATATATATATATATATATATATATATATATATATATCAACATGTATTATAGTGTAATCAAGAAGACATTACCTATATGCAAAGAGTACAGCAGTGAACAACATATTGGAAGTGTAAAGAGATGAATGATTACCTACCTGAAGAAGTCATGGATGAAACCAAAGAAAAGCTTCTACTCCGCAACCTCGGATGAGAAACAACTTTAAATATTAAACACAGATTTATGTTACACCTTTGGGCAAGAAACATAAACTGCCAAATATGCATTACACATCCTTATTTGTATAGCTATTTCACAAAATTCACATTCCAACTTGAATCACATCTTTGGACAAGAGACTAAAGTTGCCTTACGGAATCATGAAATACTATACACTGAGTCACAGTTTGAACCAATCATTATTTCTTTCATTGGAAAGATTAGTATCATGTTATAAACTGTTAGTCACAATTTCAAGTAAAAATTACATTGAACAGAACTTCCTAATAATTCTCACTTTGGTGAAAAATTATATAAACATTTGTTCAAGAATACTTTATCATGGTTGTTGCTCCTGCAAAAGCCGTTAGTGTCGATAACCTTTACGATGAGTTATCTTTATCATCATCATGCCTTCCAACATGTGTCTGAAAAACTTTATACACATGAACCAACCATAAACCACAATTAAGTTTTTGTCAAATAAAATTCCTGATAATCCCACTTTTTCGTGAAGATTATTTTAATTGGAGTCTTTAACAAGATGAATCATTAGATGCCCAAAAAACTATTAGCGACATAACACTATATACATAGCCCTGCAATTGTCTAAATCATTAGCAAGCCATTAATTACCGATATATATACATATATGTCATTCTGGAGTGAGACTTTAATAACAAGATTACTTGTTTATGAAACCTGTCAGCAACGCCACAAGATAAAAGTATGAAAATACTACCTGTAGAAGCTAAGGATGACTGCACAAGAGAGAACTTCTACTCCCACTAATTAACCCAGTTTACTTTTATTGGTCAAGATTGAATGATCTATTTACAATCACGGGACTCCAATATTTCAAGCTACCTACATGTTAGACTTAACCAATATATTCTTGTAAGACAAGAATTAATCAGCCATTTAAATCAATCAAATGCATATAACAAGTCCGAACAGTTTTAATGCTACCAGTTAACAACTTCAAATGGCAAGAAACGCAGGCTTGAAATAGCGTACATGTATTTAAATATCCACACCAGTTTCGTTAAGTTAGGAAAATAAAGAATTATATATATCATTTTCCTAGCAAATATGAATCTAATCATTCTCAGAGTGATTGGAAATAATGCATTGGATCTAGGGCCTGTTAGATGGCTCTGATACCAAATGTTGGAATTAACCCTAAAACTAACAGTAAACTCTAGAACACAACGCAGCAAGATTAGTGTAATCTTACCTGCAGAATACAAAAGATCACCAATTCGTTCCTGCAGAGGCCATGAACACGATGCAA